GTACGGGGATTAGCCCACCCGGGCATAGGTCACTGACCCACATTGGGGCCTGAGGGGCAAAAATTTAATACAGTAATAATAATTCAGAAAAAAGAAAAAAAAATAAGAAAAAAAAAGCTGCCTATCTACCTATTGGACAAACTAAAATCGTTCCGGACCACGGGAGTTTCCGGACCACAGAATGCCGGATTAGAGAGGTACAACCTGTAGTATATTACCATAGTCTTGGAAATCTGTAAACCAGTTCCCTGGGAGTCTTAGAAAATTGCCCATTAAAAATACTGTATATTATGTATCTGTAACTCAAAGCTTGCAGACAGTAGTTCACACCTACCCACTCACGCTCGTTGACATAAACAGTAGTCAGCAGGAGTTCTTGTGGTAAATTGGAAAAAAAAATTGTATCTAGCACTATTCCAAAAAATTCCTCTCTTTAGTTTTTGCCATTATACTGTATATAGTATATAGTATATATTTCCACTGATCAGTATAAGTGTCTAGGTATGTTATGGTGGCTTCAGAATTTTGCTAGTTCACTTTACGCGATTTCTCATATACGCGCCTCGCCAAAACCGAACTTTCACTTTCCGCGGTTCATCTACCCATATACGCATGAAGTATAATTTTTTTTTTTTTTAATCTCATAAAATTTATACAAATTACCTGGCCAGAATATAATTTACATTGCTGGAATTCTTACTATTTGATGATCATTTTGAATATAAACATCATAGATTTTGCATTAGACATACAAATTTTAGATGTAATGTTTACTCTGAGTAAATATGTTATCTTTTGTGCAAAATATATGACATTTATATTCAAAATATTCCTGGTCTTACAAGGAATCCAGCAATGTCAATTATATTATCCTAACTTTAGTCTGAGGTATTATTTATTACTAAAAAGGTAAATATTCTGGTTTTCCCACACATTTATCTGGTAGGGAGGGTTGGTGGGGGGTGGGGGGGAGGGAGGGACCTACCGACCATCTGGCACGGTGTGAAGAATATTTTTTTTTTATTATTAACTGAAGATATTTGTTTTAGCTCATAAAATTCATACAAATTACCTGGCCAGAATATTATTTACATTGCTGGAATTCTTACAATTTGATGATCATTTTGAATATAAACATCATGGATTTTGCATTAGACATACAAATTTTAGATGTAATGTTTACTCTGAGTAAATATGTTATCTTTTATGCAAAATATATGACATTTATATTCAAAATGTTCCTGGTCTTACAAGGAATCCAGCAATGTCAATTATATTATCCTAACTTTAGTCTGAGGTATTATTTGTTACTAAAAGTTAAAATTAGTTTTTTCACCCAACATTTCTCTGGTAGGGAGGGGGGGTGGGGGGGAGGGTTGGGACCGACCGACCATCTGGCGTGGTTGGAAGAGGGGGGAGGCAAGTTGGGGTACTTTGATTGACAGATAGTGTCGTGAAGAATATTTTTTTTTTATTAACTGAAGATATTTGTTTTAGCTCATAAAATTCATACAAATTACTGGACCAGAATATAATTTACATTGCTGGAATTCTTACAATATGATGATCATTTTGAATATAAACATCATGGATTTTGCATTAGACATACAAATTTTAGATCTAATGTAATAATTTGGTTTACACAAAGCAAGTATTTTATCTTTTGTGCAAAATATATGAAGTTTACATTCAAAATATTCCCTGACCTGCAAGGAATCCAGAAATGTCAATTATATTATCCTAACTTTAGTCTGAGGTATTATTTATTACTAAACGTTAAAATCTAGTGTTTCACCCAATCATTTCTCAGAGAGGTAGGGGCCAGTGAGCTGGGAAGAGGGGGGGGGGATTTGAGTCTATTATTTGAATGGACATTAACCTGGCGACTGTATTTCTCTTAAATATTAATTGTGTGAGCATACCATCATAAAATTTAGATGTTATTTTTACTACAACATAGGTATTGTGTCGGAAAAAGTGGAGTTTGGGGGTCGGGCCAGTCTCTATTGGAATTAATCCCATATGATCTGTTGTTCCATTTACGCGGATTTCACTTTCCGCGGTACCCTGTGGGTTCAATTGACCGCGTAAATCGGGGTACTACTGTATAATAATAATGGTTGCCCCTTGTGTACGAGGATGGCTGGCCCTAGGGCCACCTAGGTGTGAATTTGTTTAAAGTGTAGAAGCTGTCGCCAACACAACAACCACACCCCAAGTTAACGAGTTGCATGACCAAGTGTCTAGTTAACGAGTTGCATGACCAAGTGTCAAGGAATAGTCTGAAAAGACTGGATAACTCATCAACTGCATTGGCTAACCATTACCTCGGAACATGATCCGCAAATCAATTAACATCCAGGTTCCCAAATTACTGCTCGGTAGACAGAAGCAAACAGCAAAAAACTTGTACATAGCTTCACCCAGCCAGGGAATTGAACTTAGGTCCACTCGCTTGTGAGGCGAGCATGCTAACCATTACACCACAGGTCACATGCTAGCATATACGGTTTGGTTGTAAGGAATTTTATTAAAAAATTCCATCCCCGAGTTGTGGCCTGTTATACTGTCCATATTGGATTGTAACATACTATACAATAAAACTTCTTTAATATTATGCCGATATTATAAAACTGCTTAATTACTGTGCATCATTAAACTATACTATATTTTACTTTGGGAATTTCAATACAGTTCTTAGTTTCAAGGGAGGTTCAGAAAACAAAATATTCAGATCCAGCATGCTCTCAGTTTCAATAGTACTAGATTTCTGAAGTTGTAATGTGCATGAAATCAAGATGTTAATACACTATACTGTATGCTATTTACATAGTTTCTAATCAAACAAAGCATTCCAAAAGTGGGTAAAACAGGTACTGTACACCAGGTCTTATAAGAAACTGCAATAAATGTTTTTATCCTTTAAACATGGTATGTGGAATATAGTAATGTGAATACTGTATAGTGTAGTCTTGCAATACATTTGACTTCGTCCTAATTTCAAAGTTCCAACATTCTCTAGTTATTTAAGCAACAAGTTTTTCATCACTTTTCAATCATCAAATTTTATTCTTTGACAAAATTTATAAGGAAAAATCAAACTGATAACGTACATATCTTTTCAAGTCAAGAAATGTTAATATGGTAGATACTGAAGTTGCTTGACAATCTTAAAAAGTTCTGGCAAACACCAATCACTGAATTTTCCACATACTGTATGGGTTTATATTTTTGGATATACAGTATCTACAGTAAAAGTGCAAATGATTTTTTAAAATGCGAGTTACATACACGAAAAAATCATATTTACATAACATATCCTGTTACACCTTCAATAATACCCTGTAGCAACAGTGTAGTAATCTTAGTGATGCTGGACTTCCCTTACAATGCATTTTGTTACAAGACTTCCTTATATATATATATAGTACATTAAAAACAATATGATATAAAACAGGAGATGCAGGGAAGGTGCAAGTTGTTGTAACAGTTGTAATTACCTTGACCTTATAGGCTGCATCTTTCTTCATTACAATTATACTGATTTTTGGTGGTTTATATCTCAAATATTAAGAAAATATATGCACATATTTTTAAAATTGTTAATAGCAATGTTTAAAGTTTACTGTATACAAGACTATACTGTACTGTAATAAGTAATGCATTACTGTACATACATGTAAAGTTCAAATGTACATTTCTATTATACTCTCCTTGGAAATTGTGTTTGTAACATACCATATCTAACGGCTTATACTATTTTTTCTTTTCTTTGATTTGGTGTAAAAAAAAAATTCAGTTAAACATATTGATTGTTTTATATGTACCCTGTATGTACTCTGTACAGTATATGGAAAATCTTAATCATGAAGTACAGTACTGTACAGTATATGAAAGCAGGAAATAATTTAATCTTGAACACAGACAGGCTCGCACTTGCACACATATAAAGTGTTCAATAAGTAATGTAAACCCCAGAATAGAATACTGTATCTGTATGTTTACTGATGTAATAAAAATAAGAATGAAACCCATTGTTTTTTGTGTCAAGTACCTGGAGTGTACTGTACTATATAATGAAAAGAAAGAATGAAAAAAAATAGTGTCATTGTGGAAAATTACATTGAGAATTGAAATAATGAAGTAATTAGAGACAAACTTTACCAGAAATATGGAGCAGACACGGAGCCTCCATACAAATCAACCTTTAACTATCTATAAGATAAACTTCATGAATGTGGGTGAACTGCAAATGCTACCAATACATCAAGCAAAGTTGCATTGTCAGGTGATATTTGTATGCCCCTTTGACTGTCTTTCTCTCTAATTCTATATTTATAAGTCTTGATTTGTCCTCGTCATTTTCAAAATGGCTGTGTATTACCTGCCATAAAAGTCTTCATCCTTATCTTTTAATAATGTTTTCTCAGTAAAGGTGCCATCCCATCCCTTCAGTCACTTACAGTATGACTGGATATACAAAATCTAATATAATGTGCTCATTAATTAAAATTTATGAAGTTATAACCTGTTATTATTCTTGCCAAATTTTTAACATATGAACAGTTTACTATTACAGTATATATCTATATCCAATGATGAAATTTCCTGTGCAGATAGAGGATGAGCTATTTACCTTTCTAAAACAAATTTTATTTCACAAGTCTGTTTTTCTACTCCAGACAAAATTATTGACCAAACTATAAGCAGAATAATCCAATGTGTTAGTTTATTATTAATGTTAAACAGCTACTTTCTTGAAGCAAAATAAAAATATGAAATATGAAAATGTCTCCAGCAGGGAGTCAAGAGAGTAAGAAAAAACATGTAGGGTACAGGAAATGGTAATGATGTATGACTATACTGAGATCATATATGTATGATGGACTACAAATCTATAAATTTATTTGTTCAAAGTTCCAATTTCCATAAAGAAGGCAGCAATTATGACAGGTTAAACTGGGACAACATCCAATAAAAAAAATGCTAACCCATCTTACCGATGTCGTGAAGTCCAGCCACCATAGATTTAGCTCTTGCTCGTCCAACACTTAAGGTTGTTCTGGGATCTCTTGGGGGGGGTGCAGGGGGGGCTTGGGACGACCGCACTAAGAGGGAGACACACACACAACCACAGTTAGTTTGGTGGCAGCAGCAAGCTCTTAGGCAGCCACAAGGGTTATTTCATTATACTGAATTTTGTTGAGGAAAATATGTAAACTATGCTTTATATAATTTTTCAATGCAAATACAAAACATTTAGCTTTAGTTTAAAGAAGGGATATTTTGCAGGTTTCCTGAAGTTATCCCAGTGCTGTTGACTGTAGATGAGCTCAGTCTACCATTTAAAAGACAGATAGTCATTTGTAGTCCTCAACAAATATTCAGATTGCTAGCAAAGCATAAGCCAAATTATGAAAGGCATCAGTCATATTTCTCCTAGGATTTAGACTGCATATGGACAAGAAAATATATATACTACTGTATATATATATATAGTATATGTTTAAATATATATGAAATTAAATGGACAGAGCAGAGGAAGTTTCTAGGTACTGTAACTAGTAAAGACCAGATTTGTTAAAATCTATCACAATCGTTTGTTCCTTAGGTTTTATTAAGCTAATAGTATATGACAATTTTAGAAATAATTGAAATTAAATTCTGCTTTGTTCTTGCTAAACAAAAATTAAAAAAATTGAAAAAAAACTCCTTTGCAGGTAGTGGAAACACCAAGGGAATACAAAAGCAGTATCAAGGAATAAGAGGGAGTCACTTTTTCACAATAAGACACTGTCATCAGGCTCAAGATTGTTAAGTGTAGAGGAATAAATATTTAATACTTGATAAAGGTAATATAGGATGACTTGGTTATAAACTGGAATCTACAAAAGGGTAGAAACAATATTCGTGACATTCACATGCTAATTAATTGAAAAGTTTGAGAAAATGAACATACCCAAGTTAAAATACAAATGATTAGTTTTTACATGCTACTTTCTCATGAATAAGGTCTTTGTGTGAACATTCAAATATCATACAATGAAAGTGAGTGAGTTCAGTGTGCTCAGATTATGTTAAACACTGCTCATAGGACCAACATTCGACATGGTCTTCCTTATCTTCACAATCAGCAGGGTCAGTTATCCACTGCATCCGAAAACCACAAGTGGATAGCAATCAGGATCCAAGAACCCGAGTCTATCCAACAGTCCGAGCGGAGTTTGGTGAACAGAAAGAGGGACATGCATCTACCTGCATGGAGTTTTCGAGGGAGTGTCTGGCACCCACGTCTGATAGTTCCCAGGTTGCCTATTGGTGGCTTGTGAGCCATAAAGGTGATTGGAGTTGGAGTTACAACCATCATCTGGACCAGGTCGCCCGATTTACGAATTAATGTCACAACGTGCTCATGTGAGGCCTGTGATACATCCTCTCCATTGATCTGAAATTAATTATACAAATAAATCCTTTGAATTTAAGCACACAGCTATTTTAAATTTACAAAACTAACATTACCATAATTGGCTTAAAATAATGGAAATCAACATTACTGAGCCATTGTGACATGCCTTGTTTTTATAAAAACAAAGGTGGTAAGGACTGATTTAAGGATTTACAATTACAATTTCTAAGATGCTTTCCATTATATATACTGTACATATAAAAATCAAACCATTGTAAAGTATTTTACTCATACAGGTCCATTAATATGCAAGCTATCCATCTGAGTTTTAATTCTAAAAGAAGGAATTGTCAAAGTACTGTACAGTGACACTGACCTTGACTAAGTAGTCACCCTTTTTGAGACCAGCTAAGTCAGCAACACCCCCTGGATCCACATCATCCAAATACTGAAGGGCTGGACCACGTTCATTTGGTCGTTCCATGAGAGGAGATGTTGCCTTTGCTCCACGTAACACAAAACCAAATCCCTTCTTACCACGATGAAGGACAACAGTTCGAGGTTCATTTATCCTGAAATTTTTGTATATGTGCACTATCTTTATGGAAGATTTCATCATAACAGCAGGCAGTCAAATCCACCATACTGATCTTTCAGTTATATAAATAAAATACAATTGTTCCTCTCTGACCCCATGAAATATAGTCGATGATTGGCTTATAAATTAAAATACCACAACTACACTAAATTTCAAACTTTTTCCTGCTTAATGAGTTCTTATTATGTTCTTTATCACACACTTGTAAGGATATGAAAAAAAAAATACTAAACCTACGGCTTTCTAATCCGTGGTGCTGTGCCATAATGCTGTTGAACCATCATCTCTCTTCTGCCCTGCACCCTTGCCACTTGAGGGGCAATCAAAGATTCTCTTACAGCTTGGGGGTTACGTAAGCGCACTTCTTGGACGCAGTGGGGTGGGAAAAGACCTGTGATTCCTCGAAGCACTCCTTCTAACATACCATCATCTGTGCTCCCAGTTACTGCAAAAGATTTTTTTTTTTCAGATTAACACAAAAAAAACGAGTACCTGTATCTTAAGATTCTTTCTGGTATCTCTGAGAACTTCAATCATTCATCTTCTCACCTTCCAAAATGTCTCCTGCATTTATGTCAAGGTGTCCTGGTTTGTGTGGAGTGTACTGATGTAAGCAAACCACCAGCATGCCCATGTTAAACTGAGTGATGTCGGTAGGGGTTGCATCATAACTTTCTGCACTGCCACTGTTTGATGTACACACGCCAGAGCTGTCACTCACCATATCGCAGCAGTCCACTCCTGCTGTAAGTTTTATGGTATTGTTAGATAATTTCATTACCAGAATAGTGCCTAAATTTCCTTAGAATTTTAAAGCACATTAGAAATACGTATATATTAGTGAAGGGTTTAATTTTGGAGGTTACTGTACACACTTAAAGTAGTAGTACACAATAAATGGATACTCTAAATTTTTCATTAATTTAGGGGTAATGAAAGGGTTGTTAAGGAACACATACAGCAATCCAGTTGTATCTCTGTCTCTTTCTGATTTAATTCAGATTGATTAAGGGATAAAATTTAATGCTTCTAACTGGCCAAGCAAGAACAAACTTGGTACACTGTAAACGGTGGTAGGAAATAATGTAGAAATTGTATTTGACAAGGATTTTCTTTGTCCTTGTATGAAGAAAATGAAAGCTAGTACAAAATATTAATTTTTAATATCAAGAGGTAATGAAACTAAGAGTTGGAACAAAATAAAATTCTGTGCAATATAAAATTAAAAGTGTGTGTTATACTTTGCACTGAAAATTATAGCAATAAAAAGATTTGTCTACAAACTGGAGAGATGTGGACACATGATGGAGACACATTTGGATAACTCTTATATATATATATATATATATATAGATATATATATCAATTAACCATATAATTAACGAAGAAATACACATGTTTTTATATTAACTATACAGTATATACAACAGTCAAGCTAGGGAAAATATTTCTTAGGTCAGAATTCAGGGTTTTACAATACCTATTCATTCACTCATCCAGTCAGGGAGTACATTTAAAAAGGCACTGGTCAGAACCCCAATTTCATTTTTCTTATTTTGCGTACAAGTTTACTAATACTGTATAAAATATGACAAATTCTACCCAGATGATTGATTTTTTTAGTATGCAGATATGTTGGGATAGGTTTCTATATTAAAAACGCTGAGTACCGAACTGAGAGTGTACTTATTACCACCATGCTATTTTACTATTCCAGATGAAACTAAATGTTACATAATACTTCTTTGAGATAAATGTATAGTATATAACAGGTGCCTAAAAGAAGCGCTCAGGCTCTCAACTGGCTCAGCCATGTTAATATTGTTATTATTATCCACTCTGTATCTGTGTTTTCTGGCTAATTAAACTGTTTCGATTCATTCAATTAAGCCACAGGGACATTATTATACAGTCGGAAGCCATTATTAAGACATCCATATTAGCAGGGAGACACAGTGTTCAAAAACAACAGCCAGCATAATACAATAACAATTATTTTCTTTTTTAAGCTCATAATAAATTAGTTGAAGTAATTTAATCATATTTATAATACACTGCACTTTGAGTCAATTCAGTTGTTATTTATTTAAAGTGTTAGTAGATGTAGGTAAGGTTCTCGATTCTAGAAACTTTTTTTAAGGTTCCCAAGTCTCAATGTACGTATGTATGTGGCATGTATGGCCTTGTGCAGTGTGAGATAAAGTGGATGTGTACAGTATACTGTAAATTTAAGTGTTTATGATAAAAATTTTATAAAAAAATTATGGGGTCAAATTACGTACGCACAGTATTTTTGAGAGGTTAAAATTCATGCATTTCTGTGGGTCATTTACGGTGAAAGATAGTTGTACATGCTCGTGGTAGGCTAACCTTACCAGTAAGCTTGCCTGGGCTTGCCTACCATATCCCTAGATTCTTTCTTTATTTTGCTAATGAAGATTTATTGCCAACTCATCACTGTACCCAAATCTCCTTAGCACTATCCCTATGAGGCAAGCTGTGAGGTGTTATGGTTATTTTTCAACTAAATTTTGGGTAATCTTCTTCACCTTTTTTAATCAGTTACATGCACACACAATCCTACATAAATATTGTACAAAAAAGTAAAAGAAATAATTATCATAAGAACAATTACAAAGGAAATAAACATTTCTTTATGCACAAGACCGGGGGAGCTTCGATGTTAGGGGGTAGCCAGAGACAGCGTCTCAGTTGGGCTGTGTTGAGGCGAAGCAGCCAGCATTCCTGCAAATGGCAGTTGTGTTAAACTTTCATTTAGCTTTTCCTTAATGGTTTTAACTGCATTTTTTTTCACCTAGATCCTATACAATTAAATAACATAAGAAAGGTAGGTGGTATGATTTATTAATGTTGGGAAAGGAGGTATAGTACTGTACAGGGAGCTGTGAGTTTGCTTCAACCTTTTGACTTACTGTGTAGGCTGTTACTTTATAACTGTGATAATACTCCTAATTTTTATTTTTTTGGGGCTAAGTTTTTCAGTATTTTATATTAGTTTTGTATTTGTAACTGTAACACAGGACTCATCACTATAGCCACATCCCCCTTGACCAAGTTGCGAGCTGTGTTATGTTTTTTCGAAGTCGTATTTTCGGGTAGATATACTGTATGTCACGAAAGAACAGGAACGTTTGCACCGAGTAATAGCCACGCATACAAGAGTGCAATGGCTATGTTGTTGTGATGCAAGCTGGGCTGGCGGGACCACGTGGTTCCCGCCGTATCGCTCAACAATAACAATGACCCGCAAGATATGCAAGATATATTTATTTATATTTATTTTTAAATAATTTTCCCAAGATTTGTGTCATTACTTGGGTGTCCAGTACTCAGGTTTTTCTTTTTTTCAACTGTATTTGTAATCTGTACTTTAATTTCATCTTTGGAAATAATGCAGAAGACAATCTCTAGTGTTTGAAATAGGGATATTCTTAGATTATAGATTACATGATATTTTCAAACAAAAATGGCACAGAAATAGGAACAATAACCCAAGTTAAGTTATCATGATCTTGGTCATGTGGAAGTGTAAAAGTCAATTGGCATGTAGTGACAATTACACCAATTACATGACTCCTTCCACTCATGGTGGTCACTCTTTTTCCAGTCAATTCCTTTAAAGTAAATTTTCCTCATTCAATCAAGCTAATAAACTGTTTTTCCACTTGCTTGAACAGAGGTTGTATTCATGGTGGGTGTGTGGGATTTACACTCGTAACTGCTGTCATTCATACTCAGATGCGAGAGGAGGCACAAGGATTCAATGTAGTAAGAACAGCTACTCTAAAAATTTTAATTTTCTCCATTACTGTATCAGTATTTACTAACAAGCAATTCCCCAACAAAGCCAGTAATTATAAGTTCATTACTGTTCCATGCTGTTCTTGTAATTCAAATGTATTAATTTTTATCTTTATCAATCCTTAAATAATGACATTCAAGATTTTGTTAACCAAGATATTTTACCATAAGAACATTTGTGACAACTCTTCCTCACCAGCATTCAGACTTGCAGAACCTAGAGCACTTGCACACTCCTCTGAATCCATCTCACTTGGATGAGTACATGTAGAACTGCTGCCTGTTGACGTCTCGCTCAAAGAGGAAGCTGAGCTAAAAGGTGGAATGGATCTACTAGATGGAGAAGGTGATGGTGGCTTTGTTATAGCACTGACTTCCAGCCTGGGGTCCGAGTGTGTGCGGGAGAGAGGAGCTCCAGAGATGCGACGGTTTGGATTGTATTTAGGTGGCTCCTTGAACGGAACTGTAAGAGATTATAGTTACAACTTTGAATGATCAAAGCAAGTCCTATATTTCTTAAACATTTATATAAAAAAAAACCCACTTTCTGGAATAGTAGTAGTAAATGCTCATATTTCCCAGTAAAAATAAAACAAAAGGTACTACAGCATTTGTTCAATTCTCAGAAACATATTGCATATTTATGAAAATATTTTTTATTCCACATACCGCAAACTGTTTAATTAGAGATCTTTATGAATAAAACTGATATGAAATTATGGTATTACATTACATGCAACAGCACACAGACTGTACTCACCAACATCCTCTAAGCTATGATTTTTTATCACTTCAGCAAGTTCCATATTTCCAGCAATAACTGCAACCTGAAATACAAATACGTATTGACTTACTGTCCTTCACGGTAAAATATTGAATATGCAAAGTATACACACATAATTTACATCTGTTTTTCTCCATAAAATACTAGCTGTACCCACAAGCAGAGAACTTAGCACTGTTAAAAAATTTACATCACTAATAATGAAGATATATTTGATGGTTATAAATATACATGTATAACACCACCTGAAATATTTATGAAAGAATCCTGAATTTTAAGGCATGTTTAGTTAATGAGAATTTCTATCACCTAGTATGGCCCTGGTCCCAAGGTTGCCAGTTAAGAGTCAACCTGTGTGTCTCATTATCCCTGTCACCACCAAAACAATGCAGCCAGATTGAAAATAATGAGGAAGCAGGAATTTAAATTCTTTTTTATTTTAAAATAAAAAATTGTAGTTTCAGCTAGAAAAACCAGCGATTTTCATGTATAAGCCGTTTCTTAATTGACAGTTTCAAGATTGAGTACTTGTACTGCCCAAGTCTCAAATATTCCTCTATTTTTACATGCTTGGGGTAAATCCAGGCAAAAACCTTTATGCTGTAGTACAAGGGAGCAAACAAAATTAAACAACTACCGGTATTGGCTTCTATTATTTTTCAAAATCTAATAATACTGGTACAGTACAGTACTTTATTTCCTAAACTGTCTTGTTTGGTGAAATTTAGTGCTTTGGATGGTAAATGTGATCTGGTAACCTGTTACTCTTAATACAAGATGGTAAAATATCTAACCTGATAAGGTGTCTGGTTGGCATAGTTGAGAGCATTTTTATTGCACCCTCGGAAAAGTAAGACACGAGCACAATCTTCTAAGTTGTTGACAGCACAAACATGAAGAGGTGTGTTGCCAGAGGCATTCTGAGCATTCATATCAGCACCATAAAAGAGGAGGTGTTCCAAGTGTTGCACCATCTTATTCCGACAAGCCTGGGAAAAAACAATACATTGTAAGATACACAATGTTCAATATCCTTAAAATCTAAAAGATTTACAGCATAGTACAGTATATGAACATAATTCTGATCACTTACATTATGCATTACCCAGATTTTCTTCCAATAATTCAAATTTTTTTTGGACTGATTCACAACCAAACAACATTAAATGTTTGACATTACAATAATTACTTGAAATAGACGTGTTAAATTTTTAAGATGAATAATTTAGCTATCCGGTAATCAATTGAGATCATTACAAAATAAAACAAGAATGGAAAGTCACTGAAAGGCAGAAGATAATAATAAAATAACTACAATATTTTGTATTACTATATTTTACACTTAAGTCACTGCTCTGGACATGTTAATTTAGGTGAACATTAATCTCAGAATGAGCAGTTCCATATGGAAGAGGGATGTAATCACCTTGGGGTAAAGTGTATTCCTGTTGAGTTTTTTTTTAAAAGACTTGTTGGTCTAAGTAGCGTAAGATGAATATCTGAAGAAAAAAATTCCAAAGTAATCCTGTCCCTGACACTGGTAAAGTTCTGTGACCGAAGAAGATTTTCCAAGTACAGTAGCATATTACAAGGAATACCAAGAAAAATCTTTTCTATTTTATTTTGTATTCAATTCACCTTACTTTATTTCTGAATGCATATGAGGCCGATGTTTAAAAGAATGGCATGGTAATGTCCCTGTTGTCAAGCTACACAATCCCTAATGAATCCCCTTTGAGTCTCAGATGTAGGCACCCTAAAACTTGCATTCTTTTATTATAAGTAATTTATTTCTTGGTGGAAAAATTATGAATTTAGAGAGAAAATGAATGAAGAAACATACTTGATGGGTCTCCTGCCACCCTTGGTTGTCAGATGCCCCTATTACTGCATAGTCATGCAGTAGGGCCTCACAGAGTAAAGGGTCCGTGTTGTGGGTAACAGAATAATACAAGGGTGTTAAGCCACGGGTATCTCGGTAGTTTGGTGATGCTCCTAGATCTGTGCCAAAGAAAAATAATGTTAGCGTCAAGGTCAGGTAGAAGTGATTGATCAGTTATCTCAAACTAATTTCTTGTGCAGATTTAAAATATGAATTTTACTATGGAAAACAAACTTGTACATAATTAAAAAAATATAAAATTGTGTTGATTTTACATGCATTTATTGACAATGATCACAGTCTTTTTGGAAAAACGATAAATTACATTGTGACAACATCTGGCAATGTCCTTCATATTTAATTATTTTTATTTTGTATTTTTTTTTAAGGGCATTAGCCACCAGGGCACAGGTCATTTTATAATGACCCACATCAAGGCCTGGGGTTAAAAATATAATAAAATAATTAGAAAAAGGGGCCAAAGTTCAAATACAGATACAGGTTATTGTGGTGGAGATTAAAAGATGGAGGAAGAAGCAGGGAGCCTTGTACTGTATATTGTAAAACAAGAATGTAAACTCCCTGCATCTAGAGCCTTATCAGTACCACACACTAAAGACACCCCAGGGGTCTTCACTGACACTCATATTCACTATGAGTCCTGGCAGTCTCAACACACTCACCTAGCAGAGTCTTGACAGCCTCAAAGTTGTTCGCCTGTACTGCCCTGTGCATGGCTGTGGCCCCGTCTCTGGTGCGGTAGTCCAGCAGGGCACCACCGTTTACTATGGACACCACCATCCTCGATGGCTTCTTGATCCGCGCAGCCAATGACAGTGGTGTCTCTGTAATCAACACACTCATTAAGCACCAATGTTTATAGTCAACTGCACCTCTGAAGATGTGCCACTTATACTGTGTATTCTGTACTCATACTCTTTGAGCTCACACCCAAACATCCGTGGCTACATATTATGTGTAGTAACCTACACTAATGGCTCAAAATTTTAAGTCATCATGTTCACATTTAAAGGTATATGTGGACAGTGACTAATAAGATGTCAGTTACCCAGGGACAACAAGCATAACTCGGATGGAACGATTCTCTAAATGTCACATTCCTCGTGCATATATTCTCTATTACTGAGCTTTGAAAATCACAGCATATTTTAGTAAATATTATCACCAAAAGAAATGTCTTTTTATCAACAGAAACCATTAAAATACAGTAGGGTATGCTATAACGACTCTAATTGGTTCTAGAACCTCGTTCGTTATAGCATTCGTTTGTTATAGGATTAATCCGTTCCAGGCCCCCAAATACAACCACTTAACGCTGAAAAATATAATATAAAATTGTAAAAATTGTAAAAAAGTGCATAAATATGCATCTAAATCCCTGAAATAAAGAATATCATTAATACTTGTAATAAAAAAACAATAAATTAGTAAAAAAAAAAAAAAAAAAAAAAAAAAAAATTCGTTGTAGGAGTATCGTTCGTTATAGCACTCTCAATTTTATAGGTAAAACCATTCATTATAGGAATATTCGTAGTAAAACCCATTCGTTATAGCATACCCCACTGTACCTATAATCCTGTACCTGTACTGTATTATAGACTGTGTTCAAATTGGAAATCTAGAGAAAAGCTTTTCTTAAGATATTTTCAACTTTTATTAAGCTCTATGGTGTGGTACAGTATATGCAGTACATGTACTACCTATCACTGATTAAGTTGTGCTAATTGTGGGGCAACAATTAAACCATGTCTACAACTACAGTAATTTAATCAAGCCAGTCCAGAATCGACTAGGAAATTCAATTATTCAAGACTTTTTTCTGTCAGATAACCTCTATCAGTCCAAATCATCCAGCTTTAAATATCTCTGAACGACGACGCTACCTGCACTCTTAATTTGTTAAAACAAAAACAACATCAAATTTTATAACATACCTTGACCAATAATAATAAAAAAAGTCAAGTAATAAATGAACTAACCTAATGAAATACATACATTATACTGTACTCTAAATCATCCAAAAAAATTTACAGCCTCAAATTTGACAAACCTGACCATAGCTCACACTAGCAAGACTAAACCATTCAACTCAAGCTTTAGTGCAAGTAAGCCTCTTCTTTTCATGGCTAACAGTACCGGTATATACAATAACCTGTAAAATTATTAACAGGTGACTTAATATCTAAACATTTTACTGCTGTATATCAATTTCTCATTTCATTCTTCTTTCATCATACATACCAAAGTACAGTATAGTACAATATTTTCTGATTAGTATTTATTATTTACTTATTTTTTTTAATTCACCAGTTTGATCAAGTCAATGTTAGTAAAGGAGGATACCAGAGTACCTGGAGCAAACTTGCATTGTTTGGTAGGGTCACATTGGATAACATCCTTCTCACATCCGACCTGGGGATTGAACCTGGGATGCAGTAGTGAAAGGCAAGCACGCTACCACTGCTCCCCACGAGGTATACCCTGCAGCACAGGGATTTCAAAATCATAACCGAAGTATTTTTTAAGTGATGTACTGTGCATGTTATTTTAAATTTGTGTTTTCAAGGGGCTATTCTGACTTGTCATTCATCATCATACAATCTTTCCCTAATCAACAGCACTTCTGTTGAAAACAACTGAGACTATCTAGTTATCATTTCAGAATTTTAAGAAGCCATCAAAGGGTTATCACAATCTTCTGTTGTTTGCAGCTCCTTACCATGCACAAAAAGTGCATGTGTAAAGAACCACCCTCAACCCTTCTAGTACCTGTAACATTTGTTTATAAGCATTTTGGTCTGAACGTTTTCTTATTTAACCTATGATGTTTCTTCATGTAACCCAACTTGGGAAAAAAAGGCCACAAATTAGAATTCAGTAACAAATCAATTTCTACAAATTGTAAAGGAAGCTATGAGTACAGTACAGTACAGTACAGTACAGTACAGTACAGTACTAGCATTACCTTCACTCATTAATGTAGGAGAAAATTTTCACCTACACAGTACAGTCATTGCCTTTTAATACAATTTCCTTGTGTAGCCTTAAGCCACAACCAGCCATGCTTCACCTCTTCCTCTCAGGTTTGTTATCAAAATTCAATTCTTGACACAATGACTTGCAATACAACACAGTACTATATTCTTCACCATCTAACCTTACTGAAAATGTGTTAAAATAATAGTAGCAAACGAACAGGAAACCAGGATTTGTGTATTTACCACTCACTTATGTCTCTGTTTTCTTAGAGAGATAGAAAAAGAGAGAGGAGGTAAAAACAAATAATAATTACCATCTACACAACCCCCAAAAAACGTTTTACACATACACAAAAATGAATTAACACTTACCTCCAGTGTCCTGACAGTGGAAGTTTGGGTCAAGTCCCTTGGCGCACATCTTGCTGACTTTTTCCACATTGTTCTCCTTCACGTAGTCAACGAAGCGGCGGAGGTTAGCGCGGGTGTGTAGGGCACGCAGGGCCTTCTCCTCCAGGTGCAGCATCTTGTACACCCTACGCTTGTACTTGAGCTGCAGGAACAGAACAGGAGTTAGTGACATTTTCTCCTCTTTCTTTTTTCTTTCCTATGCATTAATTATCTGGGCAACTAAGTACAGGTTGGACCCTGCTAATCTGGGACCTGATAGTTCGGCGGCTTCGATGGTTCGGGACGATGTTTGAATCTAGCTGTCGCTAGTTTACGTCTTTTGTTGCTCACTTCTAGCGGCTGTTGCCACTATTTTACCTTTAAATACAGTACTTATAATTTGCCCCTAAATATGCCTCCTAAGAGACCAGCAAGCAGTGGAAGTGGTTGTAATGTGGCAAAACGTAAGCATATGACATTAACTATTTTAGAAAAAGTATCTATACTGAAGAAATTAGACAGTGGTACAACGGTCAGGGCCTTGTGGGCAAAATATGGTGTGGGTTCATTGACTGTGTAAATTTTGTCATAAAGAGGTCCAGTAAGCCTGGGCTAGATTTATGGGGTACAAGTAAAAGCACATTTTATGCATTATTTTGCCTTTTGTAACCTCAGCTTCGATGGTTCAGAATTTTCACTACACCGGAACAAGTCTGGTCCCAAGCTTCCTGGATTAGCGAGGTCCAGCATGTACATACAGCACAGTACTGCTCACCATGTCGTATCATCTATGACTAACAACAAATACACAATACAGATTTTAGAAATCAAGTACAGTAATGTATTAGCTTGTTATGAGCCCCTGCAGTTGAATCACATGTATTGAATATGACGCCGTTATGTACAGGTATATAGTTACTGTATGTCAAAGAACATAAAATGTATAATGATTCTCGTACTCTGTATTATTATTTTTCTTAACAGTGAACGTGGATGATGAGTACAGTATACAATGAATATGGCAGGGGCAGATCCAGGGGGTCCAGACCCCCCCCCCCCCCTCTTTTCATCAGAAAATTCCAATACAATACAGTACTTTTTCTTTTATGCAGTATTGTACTCAGGCATTTCTGTCTAGTAAGAAGTAATTACTATTGACTTCAGAATATCTCCTAACATCCAGTAATACATGGCCTCAAAATTTCCTCAAAATTCCCATGATATCGGCCAGATTTCACAAATTTTCTGGGAGGGCTTACAGAGCTCACCCCAGCTTGGTGTGCTCGCTGTACTCTCCATGTTCCCCCATGCACAACTTCTTGGAACCCCTTTTTTTATATTCCTGGATCCGCCCCTGTAAGGGAGAACATGCCAAGCCTTACGCTATGATATTAAGAACACCTTTATATTTACTTCAATTCTTCTGTCAATAAATAAAAATAACCATCAATAGTGTTACTTTAGTCATAAATGATAGGTGTACAGTACTGTACCTGTATCTTTAATGTGTTGTGGTTAGGTCAGTCTGTATAGAGTGATAGTCATTCAGGCTGTGTAGTGGGTACTGTAGGTAGTAGGCAGCTTGTAGGTATTAGGTAGCTTATAGGTATTAGGTAGCTTGTAGGTATTAGGTAGCTTGTAGGTATTAGGTAGCTTATAGGTATTAGGTAGCTTGTAGGTATTAGGTAGCTTGTAGGTATTAGGTAGCTTGTAGGTATGTAGGTAGTAGGCAGCTACCAAACAGGGAGGTACTACCACCTGGGAAGATATTGGAAGCATAATGTGTTGTCTAATGGTAGACCCTGCTGCCATATGGCATCACGAAAATTGTGACCAACTCCCAGGTTGCTGATCTGACTTTCTGCCTCATTTACACACAATTGCAGGGTTTCAATTGTTTCTCTTACTTTTGACAACACAACATACATATATTGTTTCTCACTTTTGAATTTTTTTTTCATTTTTGCATTTCTTTATTATTATTATTATTATTATTATTATTATTATTTATTATTATTATTATTACCTGTATTATTATTTATTTTATTTTCAATTTTTTATTTTTTATTATAAAATTTATTTACTATGAATTATTATTATTATTATTATCATTATTATTATTATTATTATTATTATTTTATTTTATTTATTTATTTTTTTATTGGGCACCCCCCTACATCCTGTGCAAGGTGAAGCGCAGAAGCGCCTACAGTGCCCAACAGGGAAGCATGCTAAGTTCATGCTTGCCTTTATGTCTCATGAGTTAAGGGCGTAGAAGCCTGAAGGGACATAGTTTTTTTGTCAAGGGCGTAGAAGCCTGAAGAATCATAGGTTTTTGTCAGCAAGTTATTGGAAACTCCAACAACTTTCCCTGAATACGAATTCGCAACTTTTCGATTTACAACAGGTACCTATTTTACTGTTAGGTGAACAGGGACCAAGGGAGGCTAGGAAGTGTGTCCGAACAACTTTCCACCGGACCGGGAATCGAACCTGTGACATCTCGCTTGCGAGGTATTATTACATTTTCGTTCTCCCAGGCCCCAATGTGGGTCAGTGTTCTGTGCCCGGGTAGGCTAATCCCCGTAAAAAAAAAAATCTGTATAGGTACTGCTGTGGAAATGTGTTCCTATCCCCCCTGTGGTAGCCCTTGTCTCCAAACGGCCAACCTATATGACCTATAGCAAGCCTGTCCACCAATCACTTCCAATACTATACGACCAATAACCATTCATTCATAAACAGTGATACTAATAATGCGACAGTGCCTTTTGGAAACACGGGTTACCACAGGGGGTGTAGGAACACATTTCCGCAACTGTACCATAAGTCAGACTGTATAGGTACCATAAGTCAGACTGTATAGGCACCATAAGTCAGACTGTATAGGCACCATAAGTCAGACTGTATAGGCACCATAAGTCAGACTGTATAGGTACCATAAGTCAGACTGTATAGGTACCATAAGTCAGTTTATACAGGCACCATAAGTCAGTTTATACAGGCACCATAAGTCAGTTTATACAGGCACCGTAAGTCAGACTGTATAGGCACCGTAAGTCAGACTGTATAGGCACCGTAAGTCAGACTGTATAGGCACCGTAAGTCAGACTGTATAGGCACCGTAAGTCAGACTGTACAGGCACCATAAGTCAGACTGTATAGGTACCATAAGTCAGACTGTATAGGTAACGTAAGTCAGACTGTATAGGCACCGTAAGTCAGACTGTACAGGCACCGTAAGTCAGACTGTATAGGCACCGTAAGTCAGACTGTACAGGTACCATAAGTCAGACTGTATAGGTACCATAGGTCAGACTGTATAGGTACCATAAGTCAGACTGTATAGGTACCATAAGTCAGACTGTATAGGTACCATAAGTCAGACTGTACAGGCACCATAAGTCAGACTGTATAGGTACCATAAGTCAGACTGCATAGGTACCATAGGTCAGACTGTATAGGTACCATAAGTTAGACTGTATAGGTACCATAGGTCAGACTGTATAGGTACCATAAGTCAGACTGTATAGGTACCATAAGTCAGACTGTATAGGTACCATAAGTCAGACTGTATAGGTACCATAAGTCAGACTGTATAGGTACCATAGGTCAGACTGTATAGGTACCATAGGTCAGACTTAGTACCATAAGTCAGACTGTATAGGCCATAGGTCAGACTGTATAGGTACCACTGTAGGTACCATAAGTTACCATAGGTAATTGTATAGGTACCATAATCAGACTGTATAGGTACCATAAGTCAGACTGTATAGGTACCATAGGTCAGACTGCATAGGTACCATAGGTCACTGACTAGGTCTGTATAGGTACCATAGGTCAGACTGTATAGGTACCATAAGTTAGACTGTATAGGTACCATAGTATGTATAGGTACCATAAGGTGACTGTAGGTACCATAGGTACCTATAAGGTCAGACCATAAGTCAGACTGTATAGGTACCATAAGTCAGACTGTATAGGTACCATAAGTCAGACTGTATAGGTACCATAGGTCAGACTGTATAGGTACCATAAATCAGACTGTATAGGTACCATAAGTCAGACTGTATAGGTACCATAAGTCAGACTGTATAGGTACCATAAGTCAGACTGTATAGGTACCATAAGTCAGACTGTATAGGTACCATAAGTCAGACTGTATAGGTACCATAAGAGACTGTATAGGTACCATAAGCCAGACTGAAGAGTGGGTACCATAATTCAGTCTGCATAGGTACCATAAGTCAGACTGTATAGGTACCATAATTCAGTCTATATAGGTACCATAAGTCAGTCTGTATATGTACCATAAGTCAGACTGAAGAGTGGGTACCATAAGTTAGTCTGTACAGGTACCATAAGTCAGTCTGTACAGGTACCATAAGTCAGACTGTACAGGTACCATAAGTCAGACTGTACAGGTACCATAAGTCAGACTGTACAGGTACCATAAATCAGACTGTATAGGTGGAGGAAAATGCAGTGGGAGCGGGTAAACAAAGTGAAAGATTACAGGGAAATAGTGTTAGGAATGATGACAAAACTAAATTAGACAGGGAGTTTAAAACTAAACCCGGTAAGGGGAGGACTCAGAACACAACTAACTTAAATGTATACTACGCAAACAGTAGAAGTATGAGAAACAAAATGGATGATATTAGGGCCTTGGTATGTACCGAAAAAATCGATATAATAGCATTCACTGAAACATGGGTCAACCTAGACACACGTGAGTTACCGGTCGAATACCAAATTGCGGGTTACAAACTGTTCCATACCGATAGGCAGACCAGGAAAGGAGGCGGAGTAGCAATCTATGTTAGGGATAATCTGAAGTGTGAAATAAATAAGGAAATAAAAACTGAGCGGAATACAGAAACAATTTGGATAGAATTAATCGACGGATGGGAAAAATTAATCACAGGAATAATATATAGACCTCCCAATCTTGATAGACACAATGAGCGACTTATCTGGGATGAAATGCGCAGGGCTTCCATACACAACAAAGTCTGTATAGTAGGCGACTTTAACCTTGGCCAAATAGATTGGACTGACCTTACAGGTAACTCAGAATCAGAGGATTTTCTCGAGACGATCCAGGACTGTTTTCTAAGTCAACATATAACCGAACCCACCCGGGGTAATAATATACTTGAT